ATACAAGTTAAGCACCAAAATCAGCACTTTTGATGGAATTTAATCATTTTTGCAACAAAAAAAAGAAATTACCATTTTTCACTTCGTTTCCACTAAAGTTTTCGATTTTGTATTTGCTTTTTTGAGGCATATTTTTTGTATTTGCATATATGTGTGTGCGCGTGTGTTTGTATCTATAATTGATTAAAAGAAAATCAAAAAGAACAAAATGTTTTTTTTTCCGGAAAATCGAAAAATAATCTTATATATATTTTTGTTCTTTTTGATTTTCTTTTAATCAATTATTTTGGTCAGGTCATTCTGTGCTACTTGCACAGCTACCGGCTCTCTTTGTTTCATTTATATCTGGACTCAATGTTTGAATTTTAATTTGCAATTTAATTTACAAGATCTATCAGATATAGGTTTTATCTAACTCCATTTTGTTGTATACGCTAATTACAAGCAAAAAAAATATGGAGCTTTTGTTGGATATACAATAATATATATGCTGATAAAATCTGGAGCAAAAAAACTCTATTTCGAATTTCATCCATAGTTTGTAATAAAAAGTTTTGAATTGTTGCGCGAGCTTTCCTTTGTATTTTTCAAAAACATCGTTGAGCAAAACTTTCTGATATAGAACGTTTATAATGAGACAGGTTGTAAGAAATGAACAATTGCCATCGTTTTTTGCAAATTGCTGTTACTTTGTCATTCAAAAAGTTTTTAAAGTTTGCCTCAAAAAAGCAAATACAAAATCAAAAACTTTAGTGGAAACGAAGTGAAAAATGGTAATTTCTTTTTTTTTGTTGCAAAAATGATTAAATTCCATCAAAAGTGCTGATTTTGGTGCTTAACTTTTATAGTTTGTGCTGAGAAACATTAAACTGCTTAGAGCATAAACGAAAACTTTTTGCGAATAAGAAATGCATTTTTATTTAGAATCTCAATCTGATAGGCTAAATGACAAGAACAGCTAGTGGCTTCTTAATTAGCACAAAAAGTTCCGACAACTTGTTCCACAAAAAAAATTATTTTAAAAATAAAATTTTTAAATTTTTTTCCTTTGTTTTGATTCATTGATTTTTTTGTGCTCCGGAGGCGCTTTCAGAAGCTTCAATAACAGTGTGATTGGCGTTAGTCTCATAAAAGTTTTTGTCTCTTAAAGCTGGAAAAGTTACAAACACATCCTTTAAGTCAAGAGACAAACTTCCTCTAAGCTGGTTTAATTTTCGCAAAGTTTTCCATCCGTTTTCTTGATATTGAAAAACAGTTTGACCTCTTCTGTCCCCCCTCTTCTTCACTCTGAAGCGTCTCCCTCGAGCTATACATTGCAGCACTTCGGCGAGCGATATCTTATTCTTCGAATTCCGCCATGCTATCCGAATAGTTAACGTTAATCTAAAACGGAGTTAAAAGATAAATTGAAATAACAAGGTCTGATCGTTCGAAAAAACGCTAACGAAGAAAACGATGGTCTGTCAAACGCTACATCGCTTTTGGCGGTTACTTAATTACTATGTCATAACAGCTGTATCACTTGATGGTTTTATAGCAGTACTGTAAAAGGGTAAGTTAAAACGATCATGATTTTTAGATATTTACATTCCTTTAAAAATTACCTCAATACTGATTACCTAAATAATTCATTTTCATTGGTGGGTAAGAACAAAAAAAAGTTTCGTGAATGTTATAAGTCAAAAGAAATAGGTTCAGGACCAAAGATGGTGATAGAAGGAACTAAATTAACTTCATAACTAGCGCCTACAAGAAACATTGTTGAATTGTAACACGCAAAACCTGTAACAAGCAACATTGTTAATGATAAAAGGACCAGTAAGTAGGACGGGTTTTCGACTGAATGTCAAAATTAATCAGCATCGATTGTGCGTAATGGTACACCAAGATTCATTAAAAAACAAGTTGTTATAACTACATGCAGGTAAAAGCACTTATAACTTCAAGATATCTGGGTTGTTTTAATAGAACAAAATTTAGCAGAAAGTTTTGGTTTTAAAGGTTTTCGGTTGAGAAATTTTCTGATTCACGGGATACTTCGCGAGTTGAATTATCTTAGCGTTTTGGTTTGACCATACCCTCAACTCGTTTCTGACCGTTGGTCGGCCCAAAACATCTATAGTATCGGCAATTGAATTGAGGTGAATCCACTGTTCCATAGGGGACAAATTCACTTCAGAATGTTGGGATGGAGCGTCGTTAGGGCTTCAAGAAACCGTAGCTACGTATGCGCTAAATGTTGTTCTCCTAGGAGAGCCTTGACGAGTAGCAGGGTCGCTCAGTGAATCTGATTCTGAAGGAGATGTAAGGTCTACTATACCGGGCCTCTGCAGCATTTCGGCGAGTGATATCTAGAGGTCTTGTATGCGGTTGTTCTTGATTTAGTTTTCCGGCCCTTGATTGCATGAAACTTTACTATCTGTCCTTTACTTCTCAGGCTCACTGGTCTTCTAGGCGTGGAGATTTTGTCTGTCTTTAAAGCTAAATCATATTTACATAAGATTTTTCCTTTTGTAAGAGTTAGCGTATAGTTAGATTTTCTAACAATCTCGTCCGTAAGTTTTGTAGAATGGTTCGTTTTTATTTCGGTCGTGAACTTTATGGAATATTAAGGTCGTTCCCGGTATTGTTTTTGGAGTTTTTGTAAGTCCTTCCGCTGCTCGTTTTTGAGATTTTACCAAGACTCTAATTGGCAATGCCGCACTCGTAGGTACATATTCAGTTGCATTTGAAAACTCGTCCGATGAGTTTCCATTTGGAAGGATTTCCTTTTTCAGCTTTCCATTTGGAAGGATATCCTTTTTCAATAAATTTTTTCAGCTCTCTTGGCATTGAATAGCTTCTGGTCGTTTGCCTTCCATCCATTGGTCTGATTTTTTTCGATAACTTCCTATCACATTTATGATGCTACCGAACCCTTGGTATGCTCCCTTAGTAGATTGGTCCGCTGACTCTATCGTCAGGAAGCGATCTCTGATTTTAGGTTTGTGTAAAAGGTACTTTTTTATAAATGATATTAGGCTACCTGAGCCAAACTGAATTTCAGTCTCAAATGGGTTATTGTCTCCAAAGGATATCTTTGGTGTTTTCTTTATTTCTTGGCCTGCCTGAGAGAATACTTTTCTTTTATCATGTTGTTGTTGTTGTTATTTGCTCTATGTTAGTCGAAGATTTCGGGAAGTCTTTCGACCACTTTGTCGGGGTTAGTCCAGAGGTCTTCTACGGTACAGTTTATGACGTTCTTGGGGCAGTTGAATAAATGGAAAGTGTTTTCGATGTGTATGTTGCATTTATGGCAGAGATTTTGATGTTCGTTTGGATGAAGTCTATATCTGGTTTCTGAGAGCTTCCAGCTGAAGCCAGATCTGAGCTGGCTGAGGACTCGGCGTTGGCTTCGAGTGAGTTCTTCTTTTCTTTTGGACTGATTTTGTAAGAGGTCTGCCGAGAACTCTGTTGTGAGCGGTTCTAGCGGTTGCGTTACGTACGATGTCGGTATGCAAGGCTTTCAGTGTGTATTTGAAGTGTTCTTTCAGGTTTCTTTCTAAAGTTTCTTCGACGCTGGCCTGAAGCGTCTGCTTCATCTGTCTGTCGCTATTGCTCGGTCGATGTTGCCAGATCCGGTGATACGGATGTTAAGGGTCGTAGCAGAGAGCATAGTAATGACTGTTGAGCAGATGATGGTGGTTGTTGACTGTGAGGAGCTTGCATTCCTTGTGCAGATGTTGGACAATGGAAAGACGGAGGGAGTCTGTAGCTGTGCGGAGAGCAGTGTTCTGAACTACCTGTAGCTTATTCCGATTTGTTAAGGGTGGTATCATTTTTGACATTCGTGTTTCTGTTCGAGAAATATGGAGCTGGGTTTTTTACATACTGCTGGTGAATTTGGTTTCATTTTTCATGGACGAGTACGTAAGCTGGCACATTTTCAGATGTTAACTATTCGATACAAAAAATGTGTGTAATATGTTTCTCATGAGTTTAATAAGAAATCCCTCGCCATTTCGGCATCTAATTCTCCCAATCTACAATTATTTGCCAGTTCCGTCGGGATTTTAAGGAACTTTTATAAACTTTCGTTATCTTTTTTGACGTCTACTAGAAAGTTTGAAACGCTCGTATGTAAGATTTGTTCCCGTTGCGAAAGTTTTTTGAAGCAGCTGCCAAGATTCCGCAAAGTTTATATTAAGGATTTTTTTCCTGGGTTTTTGTGAGCAAATCATTTTTGACCCTCTTTGCCCAATGCTAGGTAAAACTGGGATTTGAGTTTTTGTCGATGTCTCCGATTTGTAGTCTATTCAATTTAATAATTAGTTCTTGTCTGTGTTATTTTACTTCTTCCGTATAGTTATTTAACAGCTGTATTTCTCACCTCTCTATTTTGACGCTGTCTAGCATCTTTATTCTCAACAGGCTGTTCAGGAATAGGGCGTGTATTGGTTCGCGTTTTGGTGGGCTAATGATATCGTCCATGTCTACGGCATCTTTTGCTATAATTGAAAGCTTTTCTGCCCATTTTTCTCAATTGTGGGGTATTTCGTTTGTTGAATGGTTCCAGACTAAGTCCAATCTTCGTAGACTCGAATCGGTTGACTGCGCAATGTAAAAAAAATCCCTTGACAGGTCCTAGTTAGACAATTAGGGAACGATGGATACAGTAGAGGTGTGTGTTAAAAAGATACTAACTACGCTATTATAATTGTAAAAATTATACTAAAACGGAGTTAAGAGATAAGTTAAATTAACAAGGTCTAAACAATGCTAACAAAATGAGCAATGGTCGTCCAAAAGCTGCATTGCTTTTGGCGGGTACTTAATTACTACGTCATAGCAGCTGTATCATTTAATGGTTGTATAGAAGTACTGTAAAATGGTAAGTTAATGCCATCGTGATTTATAGATACTTCACACTGAACAACAAAAGCCTTTGTGTGAAAAGTGGTCGGGTCTTGACAAGGATAGTTGAGTCTGGTAAGAAATAACTTTGATTTAACCCTGTCTAGGAACGATCAATGGGGGACTCGAGTGACTCCATGGATTCAGACGACAGTAGTCCGAAAACAATGGTACTCGGATGCGGTGATTTCCATTCTAATTTCGTTATGGTACCCGAAATGGAAAACATTCCGCCAATTCTTCCGACACAGAATTGGTTGCTAGAGATGAAGAAGGTTTTGGAAGACAACAAAACTGCGCCGGATGCCATAGAGTGGATTCTGACTAACTTCTACACTTGGGATCATTTGAATCAGCTACAATCGTGTGAGGATCTGACTCCGAAGCAAATTCGAATCTTGACGACATTACTTGAGGAACCGTTTGCATTGTACTCGGCTGACAAGAAGTCGCTTTTGACTCTTCTGCAATCCGATAAGTTGCTTCTGAATCAGACTTTGCTATCAACAATTTTAAAACCTTTCGTCAATGGAAACGAAGTCTTTCAAGACTTTTTGTGTTCTGAACGCTTAATGACAGTTGCTGGAGCGGTGAACGCCCAAAAGATACGAAAATTGCTCGCGACATCAATAACTTCGAACACGTCCGAGCACCAATTAGGAGCCCAAAATCTGGAACCGATGCAAAAAGTTGAACAAATTCTAAAAAGCTTAGAGTTAACCGAAGTTGCGCGTAATGAAATTCTTGACAAACTCGCCTTGTTCGATAACCTGAAAACTTGTCTTGAAAATTGTGATGAAATAACAAAAAAGCAACAAAACATCTTGACTGATAAACTTGAAGTTGTTTTCAGTGAGCTGAAAAACTCCTCTGGTGATTTGAAAATTGATCCTGAAGTTGTGGTAGAGTCCGTAACTCAAGGTCTGCAGCTTTCTTTAGAAGCAACCGCTTGGATCCTCAAATGGCTTTCCGGAGTTGAAATAGTGCGCCCGAACGTGAGCGACATAGAAAACTGCGAAGACTTGACTAAGCGTCAGTCGGCAATTCTGAAGAAACGACTCAGTCAGTTTTTTGAAGAAGGTCAAAATATAGACAAAAAACAAGAACTCATTGACCCGCGACAAAAATTCATCGAGGAACTGTCCAAGATTTTGATCGCTAATGACATCAACGGCTCTGTTCAAAAGTGGTTGCTGGAAATGGCGCCGAATTTTGAGAGTCTCGACTCTTTGAATGAGTGCGAAGATTTGACCAAAAAACAGGTTCGAACGTTGATCACTGTTCTGCAGGAACCTTTCGAGACGTACAAGCGCAGTACCAAACAAACTGAAACTTCTTGTGCCAATTTTTTGGAAGAAACAGAGAAGAAAGCTTGTGAAATAGTGGATTCCCGAGAAACTAAGATGAGCCGTGAAGTTGCCGGAAGTTCTGATGAACCGGACGTTGAAATCATGGAAATTGATGGCTCTGACCCTGAATTGTCTCTCACGCCATTGATTTTGTTTCATACGGAAATGCAAGAAAATTTTTCAATTGAGAAGTTTTCTCTCTGCGAAGAAGGAGTGAAATACATTTGCCACTTGGTCCCAGAAAGCGAGACGGATGAGACTCCAGTTTTATATACGTCAATTTCAGGAACCCCTGTCATTAATTTTGCAACCTTGGATCATTTAAATTTCGAATGTGTGGGTCTTTTCGGTCCCTTCAAAGCCGTCCTCCGAAATCTGTTAGATTATATTCCTGGGTCGAAATTGCAAGATTTAGAAAACAGTTTTCAGCTTCAGAAATCAGGTCTCTATTTGCTGGAAATCTCAAATAACAGGAAAAAATTTCTTCTTTTCTATTCTGAGAAGGATGCCGATTTCGCTTCTGTGAAGAAGGACTCTCGCGCAGTCCATTTTCTGCGTTATATGAGTCAACTCACGAATAATGTTGTCATGTGTTTGGACGAAAATTACCAGGACAGATTGGCAAACAAAGGCGAAAAAATTGTAGTGAAAAGTGATCGTCGATCCAAGTATAATCTGAAAAAGCACGAACTGCAACAGGAAAGTTTCACTCTTAAAAACTTGGGTTTTCTATCTAACAGCGCATTTAGTCTTTCCCGTTTTTTCTCTTCTGAAAATGGGTTGATAGCTGCAAAGTTTGAAAAAGTTGCGGCTAAAGAAAAAGTAAAACCAACCAAAAAGACCGGAGATGTAAACGAGGTTGCGAAATTTTTGGATTCCATGTTGCTTAAAGATGCTTCAAAGGTATGCGATGAGTTCAAAAATGAGTACCTTAAAAAATTCTCTTCCAAGGAATTCAAAGAGGTGGAATCCGAAGTAAGTTCCGAAGTTGAAACTATTCGTTTAGAATCAGAGTCGAAAGCCAAAGAAAACGTACTGATATCGGCTGCTATTTACTTCGTCAATGATTGTGGGCTCAAGGTGTCATTCAAAGTGGTTGAAAAGTACTTCAAATCAAATCCAATTGAAAGCGGAGATTTGTGGAAGAACCGAATTGTTTTCAATTTATCTTCAATAAATGGACCAATTTCCATAGGCGATGAAATTACATTGAAGAAACAAATAGAGGAATCAAAACATAAAGGCAAAATGGCTCTAGATAAGTTTCTTCTTTGGAAAGCCTTGGGCGACAGCGCCGAGGGTTTACCAGAGGGTTTACTGGCCAAAGGATTTACAGACGCAACGTGGAAAGACCTAAAAGAGTGTGCCAAGGAACGATTTGGGAGCTACGTGCCGTACAGGACGCAATCAAAAATCGAGAGTGAAATGGAAAACGCGGAAAAAAAGCTGAACTACTCTGAAGCATCCGAACTTCTTAAAACGTGCATAGATACTTTTCTGGATCACATCTGCAGTCTTGTCAAACCATACAGTGACAAATCTAAGTTCGTCCTGTACTGTCGGAAGCATGTGTCAGATGAATTTGATAAAATCAAAAAACAAAAGCTGGACAGCCGCGTTCAACAGCTGTTCGACGAGGTTTATTTGAAGAAGAAGGAAAAACTGCTGAATGATGTTCAGACGCCCGCTTTGATTCAAGAAATACGAATTTCAAAGAGTTATTCGATTGTCACCAAGTATGATTGTTTGTATGAGAAGACAACGCTGGATCCAGCAAAAACCAAGATTGAAATACACCGACTTGCTGCCAGTCGCGACGAGCATCAACGTCTTTCAATCACCGAGGGCACTTTGAACGTCCGCGAGTTGGAATTCCTGAAAGCGGCCGATGTTGAAATTCCCGATTCTGAGGAACTCCTTAAAGCTTTCCCACTTGAACACAACCATTTGTTGTTGGTTTGCAATTTTGAAAAGGTATCCAAAACTGTAGTTTACAACCTGTCGAACGTCGGCAAACCAATTCTGGATATGGCTTTCGGCAAAAACGTGTCATCAGCGTCCTTTGACTGCAAAGCGAGGGTCTTGGCAGTTCAATCTGATTCAGATCCGGGGATTGTTCAGCTGTTTAAGTTCGGAGAAGACTTCAGATCTCGGCAAAGTCTGAAACCTGTTGATCTGAACAGAATGTTCGGCATTGAAAAAACGGTGGAAATGTGTCTACAACCAAACAGCAAGTTTTTCTGGTTTGTGAGTGACGGAAGGCTTCGCAAGATGGATTACAAAAACGGAGCAATGATCAAAGCGGCCAAGTTGGAAGATACAGGAGATGAAATTACTCTAAGGAGCAGTGCGGATGGCTCCTGCATTCTTGCAATTTGCAACGATGATGAAATCTGGCCTGTAATGACGGAAACAGGAAACAAACTAGATAAAGTCGAAGGAGTGTCCAAAGATACCGCTGTTTTCTCGTTATGCAACCAGGTTCTTGCTGTCAAGCATATGTCATCCTCTATTTGTATCCAGCAAATTGTTGTCACTGGAGCTCAGCATGAAACCAAGCTGAGCAAATCGATGTCTGAACGCCCCAAAACTGAAAACTCTGCGGGTGACTTGGTGATAAACGAAGAACATTGGATCAACTACATCTACTGGCTGTACACCAAATTTCCATCTGACGATCTTTTGGCAACAAAACAAGCCGTGACTAATTTCTGGATAACTATACCTAACTCTGGCCTTGACACCAGAAGTAAAATTTTACACGAGGTAAACAGTATTTTGGGAAAAATTCAGAAAACAAGAAAACCAACAAACTATTTGTCGGTTCAAGATGATCACATTGAGGATTCAGTATCGAAAATCAAAACCATGGAACTCACTGGGACGCCCATGGGGTCTTTCTTGAAGCGTCTGATCACTTTTGTTCCTATTCAAATTGCTCGATGTCAGTCAAATGAGTTCTCCATCCTAGAAAATGGACAGACAGTTTCATTGGATTCTGTGAATGTTGCCTTTGATCTGATGGAAAAAATCAATCTCGGGTTCTATGAGAGCATCTTCAACGCTTGGAATGGAAACATCAAAGTCATATCGTCTATGGGCAAACAAACAACTGGAAAGAGCTACACGCTGAATCATTTGACTGGATCTTCGTTCAACATCGCAGGAACCAGGTGTACCGACGGGTGCTGGATGACAGTGAAGGAGCATGAAGACTGCCTCTATGTCATCCTAGACTTCGAAGGACTCGGTAGCTTTGAAAGGACAGAACAAGACGACATGTTGTTATCACTGTTCAACAGTGCCATTTCGACTACTACTATTTTCAAAACCGAAAAAAGACTCGATAGAGACGTGGACAAAATGTTCAACAAGATCAACATGGGGAGTGATCAACTAAAAGGAAACGACAAAGTGTTCAAAGGAAAGTTCATCATTGTGATCAACGATGTCGCCGAGCAAGACGTCAAGGACACTCCGAAAGAGTTTGAGGAAAAAATCAGCAACATTGTCAGCAGAAGCGAAAACAACTTCATCAAGAAGCTGTACAACAGTGATTTCGAGATAATGGCCTTCCCTGCTTTTGAAAGCCGCGATTATTATGAGAGTACCGCCAACCTCCTCTCTATAGTCCAAGAAGAAATTGAACCGGTGTTCACATCGGGCCCTGAGTTTCTTGGAACTGTTAAACTTCTAATGGCTAAGCTGGCAATTAATGACTTTTCCCCCTTGGATAGACAGCAAATAGACGAAAGAGTTCGATTCATCCGGTCAATTCTTCCCTTCGCAATTCATTTTGGACAGATTTCCGGCGACAACCCTAAGAAAAAAGAACTGGATTTGAGAAGTTTCGACGACTCGACCTTCAGAATTTCTCTTCAGAAAGAAATCGTGCTGAATTCAATGGGAACAGTAACATTGAATGATTTTGAGACCATATTCAAAGAAAACCAACTTGACGACTCTGTGATGCAGTTCTTAGCGATATTAGAACCCAATGCAGAGAACTTTCATGATTGGCGAGAAGGTCTGCAAAGTTTTGTCTCTGAGGCTATTCAATTCCGGTTTGAGCGGGTCAAGCAATGGCTGGAAGCCAATCTTCAAAAATGGAAGTTGAGTGAAAATGCAGAATACGATGACATCATAAACGTAGTAATGGAGAATCTGGAAAATCAAAAAGCCTGTTTTGAACAGACGTACAAGTTTTGCGATGAAAAGTGCTCTGAATGTTTCTTGAAATGCACTCAAATAGTCAATCACAAAGGTGATCACAAGTGTTCAACTAGTCACCGCTGCACGGCACAATGTGAGTATTGTGAAAATGACGGGAACAAATGCAAAGTTCCATTCGGACACGAAGGTAAACATGTCTGCAGAGAGATCAATCATGTGTGTAGCGAGCCGTGCAAGTTCAATGAAGTAAACAGCTGTGAGGGCGAGTGTCAAAAAATGACTGGACACAAGGACGACCACGAGTGCTCGGAAAAAAGACATCCTTGTAAGGAGACATGCACCTTAGACGGGTGTGAAGGACGTTGCATCATTGACTGTGATATAGAGCACTCAGTTCACAAGTGCACTAAAGAGCAGTGCATCAGCAAGTGTTGCGTGACCACTTGTACAAATAAGTGTGCAGCCCTGGATCATTTCCATGGAACAAGTTTAACTGGGAAATTTAAGGAAGAGCAATGCATAGCCGACGAATTTGCTTTTCTTCTTGAGGATAAACAGACAAGATTTGACTGTGAAGATCATTTCTGCGGGAAAGAGCATCAATGTGATAAGGATTGCGAGCATGATGGCTTTTGCCATGTTTGGACTGAAAAACAGCTCAAAGATGAGACATTCGAGGGTAAAAGAGACACTTTCACATACAGTGTCAAATTTGCAGAGATGGGAGAAAAGCTGTTGTGCCGCCAGAAACTGAAACCATTTACCAAAATGCATGAGGGAGGTCACTCCTGCTCGACTGAAGTGCATTTTTGCATGACCACTTGTCCAACGTGTGAAAATATTTGTAACAAAGCTGTCAATCACGAAAGTGACGGTGACGTATTGCATCATGCTAGGCATGGAAATATGCGCAAGTGTTTCTTTGTCGCCAATGAAGACGACATTCAAGTGGGAACCCACAAGTATAAAGTCGGGGAGCCAGCGGTGGCCGAGATGTGTCACATTTTCTGCAACTCACTAGGAAGAGGACATATTCACATTGTGGAGTGCGATAGCGAGGACCCGACTGCCTGCGTGTACAGTGCAAAAGACGACCGAAGAAGACACGAGTCTACGAGATACCAACCGAACCCAGAAATCCCCAAAGATGAGATCACTCACGAGGCATATTGGGCGTCTATAGGGTTCCAGGATCCATGTCAGGAGATTGATTCAGAAACTTTCGAGAAGTGCCCTGCCTACTGCGCTGCCGAAGTCCACGAAAAAGAAGATGAGCACTCCTTTTGCGAAATGTCCATTTGGCATAATCCTGTGAAGTCTTTGGCAGAAGTTTGCCGGACGTCGGGATTCCTCACGAAGGATGGTCATGTGTTCCCATGTAGCCATCCATCAGGAATTTATCATTTTGTGTTATGCCTCGACGATTCTGGATCCATGTCCGGTACTCCATGGAAAGAACTTGTTACAGCGGTGAACGCATTCGTTGCTCAAAGAAAGGCGTCATCCTCTTCAGACATGATAACGATTGCGATTCATAATCACACTACCAGAATTACAGCCGAATATCAGCCGATAACAAGCTTTGCTTCAAATTGGTTGACATTTAATAGTGGCGGTAATGACTTCAGCCAGGCTCTGAGAATCTCGGATGGAATCATTGGGCGCCATCTGGACAAGAACATCAAACCCGTACTGGTGTTCATGTCAGACGGGGTCTGGCACAACGGTGAAGTTGAGATGGAGGCGCTTGCGATGAAGTACAGAGTTGCAAATGGTCTTGAGGTGTACACAGTTGGCTTCGGTCGAGTCAGCTTCGAAAAAATGAGGGAATTGGCGAGACTGGGCAAAGGACAGTATCTGGAAGCTGTAAATGGCATGGAGCTCAAGACGGCTTTCGTGGAAATTTCTGCCAAGCATCCTGCTACAATTGGTGTGGCCTTCTAGATGAACGCATATCTTGAGTTAATTGTTTAGTGGTGAGACAAAATGTTAAAACAATGCATAAACAATTGATAGCTATGTTATTCTATCAGAAAGTGCGCTCATGATTTATTATTTTATAGGAAAAAGTGCTACCTGAAAAGTTACTCTGTACCTAGCCAGCCAAATTTCTCTTAAGATTAATAATTAGTCCATAATTTCAAAGCCGCCTCTCTATAACTGTTTTCGCCTATGTTTGCTAATGCTTTTAAGCTTACACTAAGTCATTTAAAAACAATTTTGCTGCCTTTAGCCCTACAAATTGATTTTTAAATTCTCCTAAAAAAATTTTTTTTTGACAAAATTACTGCTTTCATTGTTGAGTTTACACAATTTAGAACATATACGAGCGGATGGGTTTTTAGGAAAAACTTGGGCATGTGTTGATTAAAAATATCGTTTGATAATTTTAAATGGGTATTATTTGGGTGGCTAGGTGTCAAATTTCCGAAGGAGAAGGGCAGATGTTTCTCTTACTTGGCTACAGCCAGTGATGATTTTTCTCAAATGAAAGCAACCCAACTCTATCATAAATGTCATTATAAACCAAATTTTTCAGAGATCTCTAACTACTTCCTCCTGAAATAACTAGGGTATATATTACAGCCCAATATAAGACTATCTCCGCGGTTAAACAACGCAAATGCTGTTCCTAGAAACAAATTCCATCATTATCTATGGGGGGGGGGGGGGGTAGTTAAAAAGATCAGTTTTCTGTTACTTTACCGCTAAGCTATTCGGGTGCCTAATTTGAATTCACAAAATGAAGTTGTGTTTATATTGATGAAAATAAATTGTTCAAACTGTTTTTTTTTTTCATTCCATAACAAGCAAAAAGTATATATGATGAGACTTAAATTCAAATCTGAGAAAGCTATCCTTACTTCTGAAACAATTACTAGTTATATTCAGAGAAAGATAAATACTAGGACAGATAAATACTAAAAAACACGGAAACAAATTGAACACATGTTTTTTTTTCGCAATCCTGAAATTACGATAAAAATAAAGCGCCGGAAGAAAACGGCTCGACATTCAAAAATTTCAGCTATTGCAGGATCCATGAGGTAATTACTCGCTCTTTTCATGTTTCTTGAAAAATAAAATCTGAACTGTGGAGTCTTTTGACTACCTCAAGTAAAGTTCGCCGGTGCGGTGAAATGAGGTATCAAATTAAAACCCCGTTAGTCAAAAAAGGATTCGGAAAAAAAATTTTGTCAAAATTTAGTCAGATTATTTTCGGTTTTCAGTGTTAGATTAGACCAAATTGCTGTTCTAGACATTTAGCTGTTGATGAAAGGCTGACTTCCTCACATAATTCATCCAGTTTTGTTAATTTTACCATAGTTTATTTCCTCTTATTTTTGCAGTGTCTCACTTACTTCAGTTGCTCTTCACTAAAATGAACGAAAAAAAAAATTGAACGAAAAACTTGATTATCTGTTTGAGTTCTGTTTCCTGAATCCTTGTGGTCGGAAAACTTTGCTTACCTGCACAGCTACTGGATCGCGGGAATCTTACGTTATCGCTCAAGTTTTTGGCCGACATTAAGCGATACTAAATACTAAAAAACGATTAAAAACAAGATTGCATGCATTAGGGCGCAAAGCTGTACGTTTCGACTGCCCTTGATGAGAAAAAAGTGCATTTTCAAGAAATTTGTCGTAAAATCTGATTCTAATAGCGCCTTTTGTGGGCTAATTTTCTTGCCTAGATTTTATTTAAAATTTCCAGCGCGTATCAGCACATGATTAATTTGTTTAAAAAAATGAAAACAAAGCAGTCATTGAAAATTTCAATTAACCACTTCATGCCAATGCCAATAAATCCTGGATAAACTATCATAGGAATAAATTTGTTATGGTTTTTAGTCATCATCAATATTAGTAGTCGGTTCTAGTTGTAGCCGTCGTTACTGTTCCGTCTTTTATAGAAAAAGATAGATTACTTTTGCTCGTTGTTTTTTTCTCCAGACAAAATTTAATATTTCAACTAGCAATTTTTGAATGAACTTTTAAATATTGTTAAAAATTCTTTGTTATGTATGGCTCAAATTTAAAAATATCTTTTATCTGTGATCATGTTTTGTAAAGATATGGTGGTTTAAGGATTGCTAATTTGGGACCAAAAAAGAGCGATGTAATTCTAGCTATTAACGCGTAAGCAGATATTTTTGGTCCTGGGAATCTGCAAATATATCACTTAGTTTTTTAGAGAGCGTGTTGAGGGATAGTTTTTGAAAAAACTCAATTTTTTTTTGAATTTTTTTCTTTTTAGTAAATTCCATCCGTTTTTCGAAAGAAACACTACACACTACACCGTAGACCTTAACAGGCAGTCAAAATTTTAGGGTTCCAATCTGATACGAGTAGACTTGTTGCAACTGTAGTACAAAATGTCTTTAGCAGTTTTGGATAGAATAAATATTTTGGCTGCGATTCAGAAATATAACTAAAGCTTAAAAAAAGAACGCAAAAAATGATTTTACATACCTTTACACGCTTGAAATTTTTCGATTCTAAAACAGTATCAAAACTCGAGCTTTGACGTTTTTTAGCTGCACAAAATTTCAAGAAATCATCAGAAAACCCAAATAGAAAACTTTTCCAAACTTGTGTGATAATTTGCTAAAAACTGTTAGTGTTGATAGCAAGTGGAAAGTTTTTTTGTTTGTACTACTATAGCCTTGTGTTAATTGGTTAAAAAAAGAGAGAATTCCACAAAAAAATGAGAGATATTTTTTTTCTGACCAAAAGTTGTAGTTCATTTTAGGTTTTTTTTCTCGTTTTTGTTTTCCCACAGCTTTTTAAGCTGACACGCTCGCAGACTACATCCCCCAGGATAAAATCCCATCGGATATAATCCCCTAGAGACAGAAATCAAAGGTTGTTTCTTTCACTTCTCGCAAGCCATTTACAGAAAGATACTCAAATTTGGTTATGCTGTGCAGTATCGCGAGGACAAAGAACTCAACCTAGCTATACGTCTTTTAGCTGCTCTTGCGTTTGCCCCGCCCTTACATGTAGAAGCCTGGTATAAACAAATACTAGTAAATTGTCACATTCCTGACGAAATCAAGAATTATTTTGAGGACACTTTTGTAGGCAAAGCAACGCTAAACTCGACAAGACGGAAATCGTGTTTCGACATGGATATGTTGAACGTTTACTTCAGGAACATTGACGACCTCCCCAGGACAAACAATGCCCTTGAAGGTTTCCTTCCACCGTGGATTCGAATCCATGCTCCAAATGTCCAATCCTGATATATGGAAATTTATTGAGGCAATTCAGAGGCAGCAGTCAATGCAAACTTTTAGTTTCGCTCAAATGCAGCTCGGCAAAAAAGTTCATAAAAGGAAAAAGGATAATTTTGGGAGGATAAAGAGAATTGTATGCTCTGCCGCTAACTACAAAGAGTTGGATTATATTAAAGCCATAGCTGTTAACTTGTCCTTTTAGTTTTTAGTCTTTAATCTATCTACTTCTTTTCTGTTAATTATCTATCATCATTCAAGTTAAGTTTTAGTGTCGCTGTTTTTTTTACTTCGAATGTTAGGGATTTTAAACTAAAACCTGGGGGACTTTGTCTTTGGGGGATTTGGTCCTACGGGAGATTTAGTCCTGGGGGATTATATCCGGTGGGATTTTATCCTGGGGGATTTTATCCCGGGAGATTTAGTCCTAGACCCAGCTGACACCTATTTCTTCAGAGAAACTCGCCTAGAAATTTTCATGCTAATAGTAACTTTTCCAAAGTTCTTCTATAACATTTCACATAGTCCGACTATTCTGAGACCGGTTTCGATATCCTTCTCAAAATTTTTTTTATTTGAGCCTTGGTTTAGCACTCACATGTTCTTTTTGTTAAAAACATTGGCGTCAACATCAATCATCTCAAAAATTTAATGTTCAAATATTGATTGAAATCAGGAAAATGTATTTTTTGAGAAACAAGCCAGAATTTGATAACTGTGGGGCATGGCAGTAATACATCGCGTTTTCAGAGAGTTTTTTGTGTTTCAAGTCCCCTACGAACGAGGCTTCGTATTTTAGCTTATCATTAACTTAGCAAACTCTATTTTACCGAAAGCGCATTACTTAGCAAATAACATTTTAATACAAAGCCGTATCTTCTTTGCGTATTTTAGTAATTTTCACCGTGGCATAGTGTTAAGTGCCTGTAACATTCGTCTACTGCAGTCACACATGAGGCTTAAGAAAAATAGGCCCTATAACTATTGGCTCAAGAGTCAGGGACACTATCTCTTGTGTTTTTCCACCTCAAATCAGTCGGAGCCAATTCGGTTCGCTTGTGACACGAGACCACGACCCGTTACATCTTAAAGGCTACTACTAAAATATCCCCCCCACTCTAGAAATAATAACGTCCCTATACTCAGGTCTCTAGATACCCAAAATACATGAACGCCGTTAAAAACCGGGTCGGAACAATCCGTTAAGTTACTTTTTATTAGACAGTGGAACTTTGATCCATTTCAGATGGATCAACCTAAAACTCGCCTTACCTCAACATAACAATTATAAAACACACTCTAGAAATTTAAATTAGTACTCACATTGTAGCACGCTCAAGAATCAGGAAGTAAATAAGTCGGTGTGCAACTCAAGAATCAATAAAGTAACTAAAATGAGTTTAATGTTTGTCAGTTTTAATAACAAGAACAAGTTTGTACTCTAGAATGTCAGTTCTCGTGAACCATTGGGACACTCTAGCTGTCCACCTTTCCACCGAAGGTTCACTCTAGTCCAGTTTAGATTAATACTCCAATCACAACAATCCAGTTCGTGGGGATGCGCTCGTCTCTGTTCTAGATGGGACAGCTCTACTCTAGATTATTATCGCTACTGAAATTGCGAATAGCAATTTCCCACTGATTTTTCTAGCAACTTTCCCGCGATCGTCACTCGATTGTTCTGACTTCTCTTTTCTGATTTTCAGTTATCGCGAGAAAATCGTGCATGACAGGTTCCATTCGAAAATTTCACTCCAAAATCAAGTGTTTTTTGCTTCTCTCAAGGTCAAACTTCCAAATATGACCGACTGGCACATACTCCCCGGACTCGAGATCGATGTCCTCATCGCGTGCTGTCTTCTGCCAGTGAGTCCCAGAAAACCGAGTGT